GAAACCGAGAAGAGAGGAAAGATCACAAAGAGAGAGGAAAAGAAAACAACCGATAAATTGAAGACAAGGAGAAATCAAGAAAGAAGAGAAGCAGTGAGGGAAAGAAGAAAACCAATGAAATTAAAAAAAATAGAAGAAAAGAAAGAAGACACAGACAAAAGGAAGAAAAGGAGGAAAAAATAAAGAAGACCAAGAGAGAAGACAAGAAAAAAATAAAAATGGAAGAAAAGGAGAAGACAAGAAAAACAATAAATGGAAGAAAAGGAGGGAAGAGAAAGAGGAGACAAGAAAAGTCAGAAGTAAAACAGAAACGAAAAGAAGGTACGGAGGACAACGATAAAAGGAAAAAATACGAAAGACCGGAAATACTGAGAAGACAAAGAAATAAAAGCAGAAAAGGGAGAAGAAAGAAGACAACGATAAAAAGCCAGAAGGAGAAGACAAAGAAGACAACGATAAAAAAGCTAGAAAAAGGGAGAGACAAGAAAAAAAAGAAAAAGAGAAGACAAAGAAGACACCGATAAAGAACCCCCAGAAAGGAGAGGCCGAGAAGGGGCTTTTTAACCTCGAAGGAATCGACGGACGGCGGTGCCACATGTGGAGGGCGGAGGGGGAACGGGCGGGGGGGAGGGAGGAAGTAATGTGGGCGAGGGGAGGGGAGCTATATGTGGGCGGGGGCGTAGGGGGGGGGAGCGGGACGGGAGGGTATGTGGGAGGGAGGAGGGGGGAGGGAGGAGGGACGGGGGGGTATGTGGGGCGGAGGGAGGGGAGTGAGAGGGGAGGGGGGGTATGTGGCGGAGGGGGAGGAGGGGGAGGGTGAGGGGACGGGAGGGTATGTGGGCGGAGGGGGGGGAGGGGAGGGACAAGGGGGGGACGGGGGGTATGTGGGCGGGAGCGGGGGGAGGGGGGTCAAAAGAATGGTGTTTGGAAGCAACGTGATATATGTTTTTATCCTTTTTTTTTTCTCTCTCTCGTTTTTTTTTTCTTGTTTTTGTTTTTCTTATTTTCTTTTCGTTTTTTTCTTAAGATTTCTTGACAGGTTTTCTTTCTTCTCTCTCTCTCTTTTTTTTTTTTGCCTTTGTTTATTTTTCTTTTCTTCCTCTTCCTCTTGTTTTCTTGTTTTTTTTTTTTCTGCTCTTCCTTCTTCTTCCTTTTTTACTCTCGCTTCTTCGTACTAAATTATCTCTTATCACTACTTCCTCTTCTTTCCTCTTTTCTTCTTTTTCTTAAATTCTCTCCTTCTTATTCTTTATTCTTTCGATTTGCACTTTCGTTGTAACTGACGCCGTTAAGGATTTTTTTTATATACGGAAGATAGATATAACAAAAAAAATAATAAAATGAAAAAAAAATTTAAAGACTAATAAGATTAAAATTAATTAAAAAAAAAATAAATAAATAAATAAAAATTAAGACTAAAAATAAGATTGGAAATACAAAAAAAAAAAAGAAAATTCACATCAAAATAATCACAATAATAAACGAACAAATCTATGTATAATAATGATAATAAATATAAAAGAGAATATGAAGAAAAAGAGAAATATACGATGATCTTGCTTCTTTCGCTATCTTCCGGTCACGTGATATGAACAGTATACCGTGAGAAAGAGCGAGAAAATAAACGAAAATAAAAGAAAACAGAGTGAAAGAAT